CCAATGGATTATTTGTGTTGCGTGGGACCAACTCGTATGAAAAAGGGTTTATTCGTCTCCGCTACATCAAAAACAAAACCAGCAGTAAAATTTGACAAGCTTATATTTATTAGGAAGTGGGTGTGGTTTTTCCTAATTATTCAAACATTTAAAGAGATGTTGATTCGCATACATCGGAATTTGTGAGAATATTGTTATCAGATGTAAATTGGATAGATGAGAAACATGAACACAAAGATGTTAAATTGAATAACTAATGTAAACAATTGAAAAGAAAGGCATTTCCTTTATACAAGGATAAAAAACATGGGAATGTGAATTTAGACAGATATTAAGATGAGATAATTAATGAATCATGGAAAGCATTCCCATCTTATACAAAATTTATTTTAATTTTTGTGACTTTAGCGATACAATCAGTCAAAAACGTATGAAGTGTAGAAGTAAACATACTAATTAATTTTAAGAGGAGTTCATTATCTGCAAGTTATAGTCCTTGCAAAGTGTCACGTCACGTAAAAATTTGCATTTTCTACCTCATATCTATCGAATCAGGAATGCTGTGCTAAAATCATTGGCTTTCCTAGTGACTAGAAAGTATGGGTGTTAACTTTACTGTCAAATTTAAATATTGATGAATTTCAAAAAAAAAAAGAGTAAATTCTATACTCACACAGTATTCATACAGGTTATCCGATTTGTTCAAAGATGTCGGTGCCGATCAGATGGATCGTGAGCGTACATTCCGAGGTGATGGCGGGCCACGTTTCACACGTTGGAGGCCTTGTTTTTTGGCTTGCGAAGATAACAATGTCAGTTGCATACTTCAAGAAATTATGGTATAAATATCGGATATAAATGTAAGAAGTAAAATAACGTAGAATTCCATACATGCATTCTAAATATATCACAAATTTTAATCTCTAGATATTATGTTGGCCAGTTGCGCAAATAAATCCCACACGTCGACGTTTTCCATATTATGGACCTCGAGATTACAACTTCCATGGCGAGCGTTGCGTGTCACCTTTTTTTGCATATGAAGTCCTCTTACATCAAGAAAAAAGGAGAAAATTGAATGAAGTTTGATTTTAAAATCTTTAGATACAATCTCCAAACTTCCTGTTTCTATCAGAAATTACTACAACTTTTCAAGCACTCATTTTTAAGAAATTTTGAATTCACAATCTTAAATCTGATTTTTGAAAGATTGATTTTTATCCTGAAATGAAATAATTAGTTATATATTTTGCAGAATGATACGATATATTTAAAAATATTACGTGATGAAGTATTGTACGATAAAAACAAAAAGCCAAGGATACGGAATGTTTTTGCTCATTCAAATGGTCGCTTGATGGTTAGGTAAATAATCCAACAGAAGTACAAATTAGATATTATACAGATATCACGATTGCCTTATCATTCTGCGAAGCTCAACAGCAGATTTCTTCATATTTACTTATTTAGGTTTAACTTTATCTTGCTTAAATAATTAAATTATTGAATTATTCCAGCACTTTAATGATAGTAAATGCGCTATATTTTCAATTCGATGAAAAAGAAAAAGATTGACAATTTAATTTAGCAACCGTTGCTTTACTCTTGGTGATTTTCTATTTGATATGGATAAAATGGCTCGTGTCGATATGGCCAAACAATATCCCCTGTATCATCATGTACTTACCATTGGAGCTGGTTGTTTTAATGAGGTGGAACATCGAAAAAAGGTTATATTAGATAGGATGAAATGCATTTTAAAGTAGAATCTTAATTAATTGTTACGCAATTTCTGAATACTAAATACTTTTTGAAGTTATCAAATGAATTCTACGTTTTCGATGATAACATTTAGTAAGGTGGAATATCAAGCGTGCTTTGTTGATTGTCGATGTAATCGATCGTTAAATGAACCGACTATCTTTGAAGATAATCTTTGTGGTTTGGAAGGAAAATGTGGCGGAAGCAAAACTGTAGAGGTATAGTTTCTTTTCTAGGTGTGGACAGGTGAGAAGAAAGTCGTAATTTGACAAATGTTATTTCGGTCTCAAATTACTTTTGTTCCACTTTCCAACTAATTTCACTTCATTCCTTAATTTTTGCGATTTAACCATATCACTTGAATGATTCGTATCCATGCGTCAAATGAACCAAATGAATGATTTTAAGATTATCCAGAAGTGCCGAGATATTCGGTACAGGACTTTTTTCCAGGAGGATGATGATTACAGTGAACAGTTGGGTGTATTGAAAAATATTACCGAAATCGGTCAAGTAAAACCTTCAAACGATGTGATGATTGCTTCACTATTATTGCTAGGCGTTGCCTTATCATCTTTTGTTACTGGTTGGTTGCTTTAAAATTGAAATCGATCACTTCCACAGTTTCGGTATTTCATGCTCTGTTGCAATTTGATATCAGGGTGGGTTCTATATGAATAGATCACTATTTAACATCTATTCTACAACATCTATATCAAGCAGATCTCCAATTGGGACACTTATGAAATATTATCATAGTCCTTCTCTCCTCTTTATGGTCCTTTCTACAGTTTTGAAAGCAGTTTTTTTCAGTGATTCTAATGGTAATTGTATCAAACAAATATCGATAGTGTGCTAACCTTTGACCTTATCACTCTTGGCAATTATGATGTTTTGCAGAGCAAACAGCTACCTTTGTTGTTTAATATTACTTATAAGTGTTGATAACAATTCTTATGTAAAAGCCTCCTTCTCCTACGAAGTATTTATTTTTTTCAAAAACACATCCTGAAAGGAAGCTCAGGTGCTAATTACCGTCGTTAAGTTTAATTCATCAGTTATCACGACTTATAAAATCACAATACGCTGAAGTTCCACTCGAAATTTCTGTTCATCTTCGGTTCTTTCTTCCCTCGCAAACTACCGGAAACTTTTGAAGAATTTTACAATGCAATCTTCCAACTTGTTCATTCTGAATGTAACCGTCATCTATTCAGTTATCATTTGAAACCTCCAAAAGTAACATTTTTCGGCTTAATTTGTAATTTCTAGACTTTATGATAAATTTATGATAAATATGAAAAAAGAGTTATCAATTTTTCTTTCTGCTGTTCAAAGAAGTATATAGTTTCCGCTTTCATCTTTCGAATTTTTCCTTTCCATCCTACAACTTCCTTAATTCTCAAGCAATAATTTGATATATTGAAATTAAGCACTTCAATATACCTATTTTATCAGAGGTAGGAGATTGAAGAGACTATCTTGATTGATTGATAATTTTGGATTAGATTTCTACCAAAATTCAATGGCCAAACTTTCATGAATATTACATTCATCTAATTCTTATCGGATATTTACGTGTTTATAAATGTCCTTGACCAATAATGACTGGTGACTTTTACGGACATTTTTCTGCAAATTTAGCTGTTCTGAAATTCTATACCGTATCAGTCAACAATGGTGCAAGAAATGTTTGGTTTCTTCTAATTTGCATGCAAATATTTGAAAAATATTTTATATTTTGCACAATTTGCATAACAATGTTAAGCATGGAAGAATTCTTTTCATAAGCAAAGAATTTTCTAGACGAACTTTTTTGTATTCATCATCAAATAGGCAAAGCTTTTTAAGAAATAACGTGACATGAGATGATGTATTTGATGTTAGTCATTGCAGGCTCTAACATTTCCCATGCATCAATAACAAAGTTTAACCCAAACTAACCATTTTCGAAAACGAATTCAAATTACATTTTTTAAAGTTATATTTGATTATTTAACACTTATTACTGGTTTATGACAGATAGTTTAATAAATTTTGTCGAATTTTTCATATCAATCACAAGTTTTAAGTTTTCTTTTGTGGAATAATTTACTCCTAAATTTGATATTATTTGCTTATTGTTTAACATATCTTCGTGTAACGTTTGTAGCAGTTTGTAACGGTTGTAAGACTTAGTTGTAGCTTCTGGCATTGCATGTGCATGTCTCCTTCAGATTTCAGGGCAAAGTTCGTGTTAAGACTCTAAGATGGGCTTCAGAATCCTTTATTGTGTTGTAATTTTCGGATCCGGCAATATGAGATCAGAAATGCCAATGTATTGATGTTCTAAGATGGACTTATTTCCGTTCCATATTTGTTTAATCCGTTCCCTCATAAAGACCGTTTCAATATTAGTCTTCACCGAAGTGTATTATTTCATAACAAATCTGCATATTTTCTCGGTCTTCAACAATTTTACTTAAACAATGGTTAGAGCATTGTTAAGTTAATGTGTGCTAGCAAAAGTTTTCTGATTAGTTGTTTGATTTCAGCTAAATTAACCGGTGTCAACTGAACGAGGACATGTTGAATACAAGCAAATTGCTCCTGCTAATTGTTATCATTGCAATTACTATGCCTAATGCGGTGGGAAGAAGGTTTGCTCATTTTTCATTTTATCAATTTAAAAACAAAGAAATTGTAAATATACAGAACAAAATGTTTTTTAACATCCTAAGGATTTTTATATTAAAAAAAGAAGTTCCAAATCTGAATTTTAACTTTTGAATGTAAACATTCGAGATGTCAAGTTTCGAGTCATTTCATAGCAATCAAAGTTGACAATTCAAATTGTTTACATTTGCAGGGTATCATCATGCAATTTGAAATGCAAAAAATATTGGAGATGCCTGGCAGACGGTGAACAAGACTGTGACACTCATAGAGGAAGCTGTATTTGCAGAACGCAGTTAAGTCGATTTTAGCACTAAGCGATCGTAGATGAACCGATGGATGTGAAACACATTTTGCGCAACGATCAATCTTTGAGATTAGTCCATCTCTTCATCATTTTAATATATTGCTAACATCGAATAAATTCCATCCATTGCATTTTGGAAACAATTATGCTGTAGCTAAATGGCTTAGATCATTCTGGCAGATCTCTTAAAACAGAGATGACAGGCGTGTCAGCTCTTTTTTATGTGACGCATATCACTTTCTTCGAAACTTCTGTGACAACACTGAATATTTTTCTCTGATATTGTTAACGTGTATTAGTTTTGAAGCGGAATAGAATGGCATAATAGTCTTGAGGATGATTTTTCCTACCTGAAGTTGATCGTATGATATGCAATGAATTTCAGGTAAGATAAATTACTATAATGGGTTAAGGATCAAGTGGGACAGCGTGATGGTACAAATGCGAATGAATCATTTCCAAAATGTTAAAGTGTTTTGTCATCCTTTTGCTAACCGAATAATCAGAAGTATACATCAATAAACATTCGCAAAAAAGTGAAAAAGGTAGATCTTTTTAAAAAATCAATTCTTGTTAGGTTGACAAAGATTCGGACAAGTAACCGGTAAAAATTTTGTCTCGCATGACTTTGAAATTGTTTTTCATAAAGGTCCAGAGTAGTATAGCAATAGTTCGAGTATCGAGAGTCTATAAGAGCCTAGTCT